TATTATCTTCCATTGCAAGCTACAATGGAAGAAATGCTCCACACCTCGGATCTTTATTAGTTTAATTTCCTTCAATCTAACTTAATTAAAATGCCTGGAATATTTTGAGTAAGTACACAATCTAGGCGTCATGACAAAACACACAGGGACTTCTAGGAAGTTTTCTGGAGCACGGGCACTGGGGCTTCTCTCCCCTCCTGCCTGTCCTAGGGGAGCCCCAGGTGGTGAGTCAGGGTTGCACTACCAGAACCCTTGAAAGATTCTGGAGAATAAAATTCTTGAGAAGGGCAGGTTATTCCTCTTGTGGAAAATGCCATGTTGTAAAACCAGAAGCTGAATGACTGAATTTGCAGCAGTAATTATCTCCGAATGATAATTAACTGTTTTCTTCAAGTTGTTGGAGATTTAAATGCCTCCTACTTTGCTGTAACTGAATCTGTTAGGATGAGTGTGCTTTGATCTTCTGTTTGGATTCCAGAGAATGACTGAAAGCTCATTTTCCTTTTCCTTCCTAGGATTTTTGCACTCATTCCCCACTTTGCTTCATAGTCTATGATGGGAATTATTTTGGAGTAACTGATTTTTTGTTTCTTTTTTTTCCAACTTAAGTGACCATGAATGAATGTATCAATGTTTAGCCGTTAGTATTAACATAATTTTTAACATATTGTGACAGTTAAGATGCCAAGCTTTTTGACATCAGATGGATTTGGGTCTAGTTTGCTCTCTGCCACACAGTGGTGTACACATGGTGGGGTGCAAGAGTGATCTACCTCAAGCGCAAGCAATAAGAGGGTGCACTGTTGGTAGAGAATTTATAAACAATAACAAAACTGACTAAAAGTCAGTCTGATTTCTATTATCATCTTGTGTAGGTACTTTTTTTAAAAAAGATTGGCAGCTGAGCTAACATCTGTTGCCAATCTTCTTTTGTCTTTTTCGTCTTCTTATTCTTCTCCCCAAAGCCCCCCAGTACATAGTTGTATATTCCAGTTGTAGGTCCTTCTGGTTGTGCTATGTGGGACTCAGCATGGCTTGATGAGTGGTGCCATATCTGTGCCCAGGATCCAAACCTGTGAAACCCTGTGGCGCCAAAGCAGAGTGCGCGAGCTTAATCAGTCAGCCATGGGGCTGGCACTTCTAAGAAATGTCAGTAAGAAAATACTCCTCCTTGAAAAAATTCATTTTTTGGTCCAAATTCTAAACCATTGGTTCTCAAAGTATACTTTGACCCAAGACCACTGGTGGTACTAGAGAACCTTTCTGGGGACTCTGAGGTCAAAACTATTTTTATAACACTATTTTAATAGTATTTTATAATGCTATTTTTATAATAATACTATTTGATATTTTAATACTAAAAATAAAATTTTTGCCATACTAAAAATACTAATCTAGGAAATTGTCTTTTTCTCTAGTATTTTCTCAAGAGTACAGTGAAGTTTCCAGAAGCTGTAATGTGTAGTACAACGCACTGGATGCTGAAGCAAATAAGAGTGTTTTATATTAGCTAAAATGTAAAGCAATGTACTTTCATGCTAATTTTAGTGTAGTTTTTAATTGAAATACTTTATGTTAACATGTAGTATGTTTATTACTGCTATTTTAAAATGAGTTATAAATACTTACTTAAATTTTTTTCCATTCTAATTTCTAATATGGTAAATATTGCTGGATATAGTCCACAAAAATAAAAGATGTTTGAGATTCCCAATGATTCTCAATAGTTTAAGGGATCCTGAGACCAAAAATTTGAAAACCACTGTCCTAAACAATTGTTGGGGTTAATTTTCTCTTTTATAACTGCAAGGTATTCCTCTGAAACAATGGATTATATATTTAATGTATAATATAAATATGCATATTAACAAGCAATCAGTTGATGAGCATTATTTCAAAGCTTTACTGTTAGAAACAGATCTATAATTAAGATCATGTATAATTACTTTCATATTCACCTATAAGGTGTCTATACAATATATCATCCAAATGAGGACATTTTTGAGGCTTAAAGGGCAGGGGTATTGGTGATTATGCTGGGACAGGACAGTTGTAAACCAGGACTATATCCGAGGCAGGTTGACAAGCACCATAGCTCCACTTATATAGCACTTAGTATATGCCAAGCATTTTACATATATTACCATATTTAGTAATCATGGCAACCAAGAAGCACTTGCTATTATCATCCCCATTTTACAAATTAGAAAATTCTAACATAAGAGCTATTAAATATTTTTCCCAAGACCACACAGTTAAGAAATGCAAAACCAAGATTCAAACCCAGCGTGGCTCCAGCCTTCTATGCTCTTAACCATCACATTATATTGTCCCTCTTTGAGAGATGTGTGAGATTACTAAAGGATAAATTCTTAGAATTATAATTGCAAGTAAAAGGGTATGTGAATTTTTACGTTGATAGATATTGCCAAATATCTTTACAAAAGATTGAACCACTATTCTCTAACCACGAATGCATAAGATGATCTATTTCCCCATATTCTCACCAATATTCTATATTAATCTTTAAAAAAAATTAATTGTCAGGGTCAGCCACGTGGCCTGGTGGTTAACATTTCATGCACTCTGCTTCAATAGCCCGGAGTTCATGGGTTTGGATCCCAGGTGCAGACCTACTCCACTCTTCAGCCATGCCATGGAGGCATCCTACATACAAAGTAGAGTAAGATTGGAACAGATGTTAGCTCAGCGCTAATCTTCCTCAAGCAAAAAAAAAAAAAAAAAAGGAGGATTGGCAATGGATGTTAGCTCAGGGTGAATCTTCCTCACAAAAAAAAAAATAAATAAAAAATAATAATAATTGCCATTCTGATAGGCAAAAAATTGTATTTCAATGTACTGGCATTGCTCCTATTCTGATGGTAGTTGAGCATTTTTCATGTTTTTAAGAGTTATATGTTGAGATGGTTAATTTTATGTGTCAACTTGCCTGGGCTAAGGGATGCTCAGATAGTTGGTAAGACATTATTATTGGATGCGTCTGTGAGAGAGTCTCTGGAAGTGATTAGTATTAGAGGCAGTAGACTGAGTAAATAAGATCACCATCACCAATGATGGAGGGCATCATCCAATCCACCGAGGGCCTGAAGAGGACAAAAAGGTGGAAGAAGGATGAAATCACTCTCCACTGGAGCTGAGACATCCATCTTCTGCCCTCAGGCATCAGTGCTCCTCATTCTCGGACTTTCAAACTCAGACTGGGACTTACACCATTGGCCCATTGATTCTCACGGCTTCAGACTCAGACTGAATTATGCCACCTGCGTTCCTGGTTCTCCAGCTTACAGATGGCAAATCGTGGGACTTCTTGGCCTCCCTATAACCATGTGAGCCAATTCCTGTAATAAATCTCCTCTTAGCTATATCTATATATACCCTATTGGCTCTATTTCTCTGCCAGAACTCTGACTAATACATATATGTTTCCATTTCAGTTTGTAATTGACGCACTTTTTCAGTAGTATTGTTCATCTTTTGCTTACTGATTCATGGGAACACTGTCTTCAGGAAATCAGACCAATCATCTGTCATATATGTTATAAATACCTTCCCTCTTCTTTTATTTATATTACTTTGACATTCAGGCTTTTGAAAAATAGTCATATAACTAAATTCAACAATCTTTGCTTTCATGGCATTTGAATTTTCTTTTATACTCCGAAGGACAGCCTCACTCCATTTACAGGTGTGTGCGTGTGTGTGTTTGTGCACATGCGTGTGTATAACTTTCAGAATTTCTTCTTGGTTCTTTCGTGGCTTAATTTTCACATTTCAATCTGTGAATTACCTGTCATTTATTTTAGCATAGAGAGTGATATAGGTAGTCATCTTTATTTTTATTTTCTAAATATACATTTTAGATTATTATATTGTCATAATACACTTCATCTATGGTAGCATTAGTTATCTCTCATTTCTCTACTTTTTCAAAAACATCCTGGACATTTTGCTTGTCTAATTTTCCATGTGAATATTAGCAAAAGCTAATCTATTTATAAAACCCAAATTCCATTCATACTGTTAATTAATTTCTCTATTATTTTAATTTATAGAGATTTAAATTTTTATAATAGTTCCCAAGGAGAAACTGGGATTCTTTTTCATTCTTTCAAGTCTTATTTGAATAGTTTTAAACTTGTATTCACATAGCTCTTGTTTGACTATAGGAGGAATATTTATTTTTATATAATAATTTTCTACACAGGAATCTTACTGAATTCTAATGTCACAGTTCTAAATATGAATACACAAACAATGATCAAACATAAAATAAATCTTTCAAGATAAAAGAGTAGAACAAAATGAATAAGCACAGAAAATATATCACCAGAGCTAATACAGATAATTCAAAAAAACTAAAGAAAACTTTATGCAAAGACAACACTAATCAGAGGCCTCACAGAGATTAAAGAGAATATTTCATAAATAAAACAAAAACAGAATACCATGGAGAAGGTGCAAATGAGTACAAGGAAGGGCTCTTGGAATTTAAAATAATTGCTCAGGTAAACAATTCAAGAGAAGTGTTGAAAGAGGAATTCAGGGAAATCTCCACACTTTTATGCAAACAATCAAATTGTGTATTTTAGAAGAAAAGATTTTTGTTAGTGTTATATCTCTATCTCTTGCGTTTTGTTTTCTAATTCTAGTTTACCTAACCAATCAGTCAAAGCAACTTTCCAGTATTATTGTAGGCCAAACAGGTTCTGGTTTATTTTGATATAACATATGAAATCTCTTTAGTTCTTCAAAACCAAATAAAAGGCTCCCCTCCAAAGCTCTCTGTGGTGTGTGGACAGAGGCAGTAGCTGTTTGTTACTGACTGTGATGTTTAATTTTATATATAAACCTGACTGGACCACAGAGTATCCAGACATTTGGTCAAACATTGTTCTGGGTGTGTCTGTGAGGCTGTATCTGGATGAAATGAACATTTGAATCGGTAGACTGAGTAAAGCCGATTGCCCTCCCTAACGACGATGGGCCTCAATCAATCAATTGATGACCTGAATAGAACAAAAACGTTGGGTAAGAGGGAATTCCTTTACCTGACTGTTTGAGTTGGAACATCAGTTCTTTGGTTGTTTTACTGCCTTCAGACACGAAATGCCACTTCAACTGTTTCTGGTCTAGAGCCTGCCAGTTTTAGGACTAGAAAGGCAATATTAGCTCTCCTGGGTCTCCAGCTTGCCAGTTGCAGATCTCAGACCTTGTCAGCCTTCGTAATCATGTGAGGCAGTTCCTTACAGAGTGTGTGTGTCTGTGTGTGTGTATGCGTGTATTCTGTGTGAAACAGAAACTTATTGGCTCTTTTTCTCTGGAGAACCCTGATTAATACACTGACTAGGTTATAAATAGTGCAAAGTAGCCATCCCATGTCTCCATAATTTGGTGAAAATATGCTGACCCTTGAAGTAAAGCAATGAGCTACAAAAGAAAGAATGAACAGACAGAAATCAGGAGACCTGAGTTCTAGGTCAGTCTCTGCCAGGACCTCTCTGAGATACTGTCAATCACTTGATTTATCTAGAACTCAGTTTCCAATATCCGTAAAATTTGGGGTTAGAGTACACGAACTCTAAGATCGTTTACTGCTATACAATTCCATGACTTTTAACAACTGCTTCATCCACTGTTTTTATTAGATTTGATATCAAAGTGCTAGAATAGAATCATTTATTCATTTATCCATCACAATTTGTATCATCCACTTCTCTACGTTTTACCTATTGAAATTCTTTCCCCTCTTCAAATTCAACTCACTGCCCTTCTTGAAGTAAAGCTTTCTCCTCTAAGCAGAGTTAGTCTCAGCTTATTTTGGCTTCCACTGCATTCTTTGCCTGCAGATGTTATTTTTGTTTAAGTACACAGTATATTGTATTACAGATTATCTACTTATACATCTCTTTTGCTATTAGACTAGGAATTCCTAGAGAATAAAGACTACCTACTTATACTCTTTCACACAAATTCTGAAGTGAGCACCCAAGACATAGTGGACACTAAAGATTGTGTTAAATGAAAATTCAGCTTAATAAAAGTTGACTTATCAGGGCCAGCTCAGTGGTGCAGCAGTTAAGTTCACATGTCCGTTTCAACGGCCCAGGGTTTGCCAATTTGGATCCTGGGTGTGGACCTACGCACCACTTGTCAAGCCCTGCTGTAGCAGCCATCCCATGTGGAGGAGGATGGGCACAGGTGTTAGCTCATGGTTAATCTTCCTCAAAAGAAATAAGTTGACTTACCATGTAGCAGACACAACACTACAGACTATAGGTAATCCAAGGCAAATAGGACCTGGTTCATGATACTTATATTGTAACTGAAAGTAGAGAAGATGAAAAATCGAATTAATATACAACAAACTAAAATGGAGTTTCTCATTCTCAACTTCAGCACTGTTAACATTTGGGGCCAAATAATTCCTATTGTGAGGGACTGCCCTGTGCATTGTAGGGTGTTTAGCGTCATTTCTGGCCTCTACCTACCACAAGAATTCCCTGAGTTGTGACAACCAGAAATGTCTCCAGACATTGCCAAATCTTCCCTGGTGGGCAAAATAGCCCTTGGTTGAGAACCACTGAGTAAAAGTAAGACAGCGGGCAAAAAGTAATAAAAACAAAGTGCTTTGGGATTCAAAATAGGGAGAGACATGCCCAGTTGGTAAAATCAGGAAAATTTTCATGGAAAAGTCATTTAAGATGAGCCATTATTAGCACTATGTCCACGGAATGTTTGAAATTTTGGCTAAAGTTTTCATCCCTTGAACTCTGGGCACGTTTGATTTGTTATTTTTGAGCCTGAATGTCAGCAAAGGGCTTTTATAAAACTAGAGGAAAATTATGCTATGGATATTTACTAATATGTAAAAAGCAAAGAGAAAATACTATTTTTAGCTGATTTTTTGTATATTTTCCAAAGGTCTCTAGATTTGCAATGTTTTTGCTGTTATCTTGAAATTCAACTTAATAGTGTTTTCTTTCTTTTTGTTTTGAGGAAGATTAGCCCTGAGCTAACACCTGCCACCAATCCTCCTCTTTTTTTGCTGAGGAAGACTGGCCCTGAGCTAACATCCATGCCCATCTTCCTCTACTTCATATGTGGGACACCTACCACAGCATGGCTTGCCAATCAGTGCCATGTCCACACCCAAGATCCAAACTGGTGAACCCCAGGCCACCAAAGGGGAATGTATGAACTTAACCGCTGCACCACCTGGCTGGCCCTATTAGCGCTATTTTCTTGATTAAATTTTCTTGTTTTCATCATATAATGACCCTATTAACTCGTAATAATATTTTTTAGGCTTAAAGTTTATTTTGTCTATTCTTACTATAGGTAAGCTAAGCTTTTCTTTGTTTAGATGTCATTGGTATCTTTTCCCAGTCTTTTATTATAAATTGTTTCATTGTTTATGTCAGGCTCTTCTCTTGTAAATAGCATAGTTTGTTGTTGCTTTTCTTTTAATCCATTCTGAGAATCTTTTAACAGGCAATTTCATACCGTTAATATTTAACTGGAAATTTTAGATTTTTGCTGCCTAATTTTACTATATTCACTCAGTCACTTTATTTCTATGTAGAATTCTATGCTTTCCATACCATGCTTTCTTCTTTGCTCTTTTTCTCTTTTCTCTTCTTCAATGGGATTAATCTTAGAGAAATATAATTTATTTCCTTTTTTTGTCACTACTAGTTTCAAGATTTTACATTTTCATTTGTATTTTTTTTTGCGTTGTTACTTTTAACTTCTGGATTTGACTTAAAGTTTAATCAATAGCTTCACATTTCAAACAGAAGATTATATGAATTCTTTAATGTTTATATTTACTTACATATTTTCCAATATTTTGGTCTCTGTTACTTCTTGTATTCCACTTCTTCCAGGATTTAAAATCCCTTTTCTTGAAGGAGGACCTGTCAGGGGAAACTCCCTCAATCTATATTTATCTGAAATTTTCTTCATATCACCCTCATTCTTGATAGATTACCTGGGCAGAGAATTATAGGTTGACAATTTCTTCCTTTCCACTCTGTGAAGATATTATTTCATAATCTTGACCTCTATTGTTTTTGTTGAGCTATCTACAGTTAGTCCAATTTCAGTTCTTTTGTATGTAGTCTGTCTTTTCTATTTAGTTACATTTTCATATACTCTTTGATTTGATATTCTGAAATTTCACTAAAAGGTGTCTAGGTGTGGAATTACTTATTCTTTATAGAACTTACGTTTCTTGAAAACTGAGGAATTTTAATTCTGAAAATTCTCAACCATACTGTCTTCAAATATAGACTCCCTTATTTTCTATATTGTCTTCTTCTGTAACTCCTATCAAACATATGTTGGACATTCTTACTCTATTCTCCCTGTCTCTGAACCTGTCTTCCCTGTTTTTACGTCATTGTATCGGGGCTGCATTATAGATGGTTTTCATCAATATGTCTTTCAATTTTCTAATTTACTCTTCAGTTCTTACTAACCTCCTGAAAACTATTTTTATTGTGATATCATTTTAAAAAGTCCTCTTTTCTGTGGTATTTTCTCATGACCCGGGTTGTGGAATGTCTCTTTGGAGTGGTTTTATATTTGCCTTTGTAGGCACACACTGGTTAGGGAGCAATATTTATCTTAATTATTGAGGTGGAGGTTTCTATATCTTGCAGTCATTGATAATTTAGACTCTAATATTCAAAGGCTTGGGTCCAGGTTTACAAGCTCTCCTTTGTTTTTTCATTTAGAATCTAGACAGAGAGAAGCTTCATTGCTATCTATCTGCTTCCTATGTCAGTACATAGATTTTATTCTAGTTTACCCTTTTACTGAGGTTTCAACTCTCTTAGGGCCCTAGCTATATGCATCAATCTTTTCCCAACTTCTTACTAATGTGAGGTTGTTAAAACCCAAGTGCTGGACATACTGAGTCTGATACTCAATATTTGTATCCAATGTGCCTTATGGTTTCCAGAGATTTGGCCTATGAATTTCCCATTTTTAATTTTTACCACCTGGGAATTTACATTCAATCTTGTTAGTTCAGCTACACATTTTATATATTGTATTTAATCTAGTATCTCTAGTTGTTCATAGTGGGAGGAATTTTATACTCTTTTAGTTCACCATTTTACCAGAATCAGATGAGCTAGCACCGTCTATCAAGATCAATACTTTATATATTGAAAGCTCACCATGCACAAGACATTGTAGGAGAATAAGACAACACCTTTCAAAGAACTTTTAACTCAAACTTCTGTTATGGTAATGACCACAAAATTTCTCCATTTACAAGTGGTAGGAAACCAGAGGGTTACTGGGTTTATCAAAAACCATTTAGCAAAACTTAGAACAGATACCCAGACACCTCTTTGGGCTTCAATTCTAGGATTTTCCTATAAACCACATAACTTCAAAGAGCAGAAATGAAAGTCTAGGTCGTAATAATACAACAAATCACTTATTGTGGTTCTAGAGATGTTACTAATAAAAGAATTATGAGTAAAAAATAAAGATGGTGGAATTATATTAAAGTGAGAATTATGGACAAGTTCTTTGAAAATCTGAGATAAAAAAGAAAATAAATTATTCACAGCATTGAAATGCAGAGATTCTTAACAATCACTTTTGGTATTTCTCATGCTGTATTCATATATGCCACCCAAATGTGAAATTTCAAATACAGTGTGCATGAATAAGCTGATAAAATACCTTAAAGCAGAATACATTTCAGTATTCATTGCTAAATGGTTTTGCCAAGGAAATTGACTCGATAATACTTCATGAAAAGTGCCGGCTATTATCATGTAATTTCAAAGTCTAGTCTAAAACTGTATTAGTATTTCAAGAATGGAATAAAAAAATACAACCTTTACATTTTTAAGTCATTTATTTCCTTTCTGTCCTTTCCTTCCCAGGATTAAGTGAAAGTTAAGTCTTGAAATTCCAAATAAATTATTTTTGTCATAGCTTTTTACGTATATGTCAGTTATAAGTCATATCTGGATACAAATTCTTATGAACAAATGGGTTGTGAG